ATAAATATAAAAAAGGAAATAGGTATACGCTTCTTTTTCGCGCTTATATTTTGGTTGGCCTGTCTTTTCGTCTATTCTGTCCGTTTCTAATAATTCATGACCAGACAGCCGAGCATCCTTATTAGACAAAATGGTAGGAAAAGAAAAGGTGAAAGTATACGACAAAAAAAGCAAGTATTAATCGATAATAGATTTTGATCAAATATATAATGGTAAGTTTGATATTTTTCGTTTGATTTAAGTGGAGTGAATAAAGGATCAAATTGATGAAGCTTACCTCCTTTTTATTAGCGGTATCGGCAAGTGCATCACGAAACCTGAATCATGGTTGATGCTTTCCAGGATCAACAGAGTCCGTTTCATATTTGTCATTACCAAAACCCCATAATGATCGAAGTTGAATTCAAGGCAAGTTCAATTAGTATTTATGCTGAAATTAAAGCAATTAACGAATAACAACTAACTTCGCTTACCTTATAACTATACTCACAATTCTATAATCAAATTTTGAACACATCTAGAGAGGGTTAACAGTATACTTGCTTTTTGCCTATTACTGTTTATCGCTTCTTAACAATCAAACGCTTGCTTATGCAGTATGTTAGACTGCTGCTAAATTGACAGCTAGTAAGTCATATATTAAAATTTATGAATAATGCTGAAAGTCATGGTACCCTTCCTTTGCCGCGGCTGATTACCCTAAGGTGTTTCTATAGAAAGCATGTGTTGGTTTGATGGTCGCTCCAACTCCTTAAAGAATCCTAACTTGAAAAAATAGAACTATTTTTAATTTAATATATTTTTAAAAATACTATTATTAAAGAATCCTATGTAAAATACAATAGAATTTTTTGTTTTTTAGAAAAAAATAAATGGATCGAAAAATTTTTTTTATTATGTAAATGTTTTTTTTTGTAAAATTCCAACATAATTAAATGACAAATATATTCGCTTGAGATATTTTCACTCAAAGATCCTATCCCACCTTTCCACCTTAAATTGTAATATTAATATTAAATCATAAAAAAAAAAGAAAATATCTAAAAATGACCCTATATATATATAAAAAAAAAAAATAAACTATGTACCCTCGCCAAATTCTGCTAATAGATCTTCAGTGGTAAAGTCAAATATACCTTGTCTATTTGGATTTTCTTCCTCATTATTTTCATTATATTCATTCTCATTATCGTAAATAAATTCAAAATCATCAAATGGAATTTCTCCTAAACTATCAATAATAATTTGATGATCTAAATTTAAAGTTCTTTCTAACCATAATGGTTCAATTACAACTCTAACATTATCTTCAGGAATCACTTCTCCGGAAATTGTTCTTTCTACTATAGATTCAGTACTATCATCATAATCATCATCAATTGGTTCAGCTAACGCTAACTGAACTGTTTCCATTATTTCCGATTCTGTCATTTTCTTTCCATAAAATGCTAATTCTTTTGGTGCATTTGATTTATAATATGTTATCAATTTTGTCATTGATTCTAGTTTTTCTACACCCAAATTTTGCCTTCTTTTTCCTGTTAACCAGCCTAAAGTTGAAAATCCTCTCTCACAACTTGCACTATTAGGACAAATTGATAAAATATATAAAGCTACTCTTTGTAAATAATTAGGTTCTATTTCAATAGATTCCCACCAAGTGATTGGACTATCTTCATTAGAATATGGAATGTCAAATGGTGTATTTTGTTCTTTGTATCGATATAATTGGGAGCATAGCTTACGTGTTGCTTCAAGATCAAATTCAAAAATTTGAGCAACCTCTCGTATAGCTGCTATTATGCGATTATATAAGCCATATTTTATAAGCCCATTTACTAATTTAAAAGAATATTATAGTTAGTTAAATTCATATTATTATTATAATTATTATTAATAAATAAACTTACTTCGAAA